GTCCTCCAACTTCCGCAAGCATGCACACACACTAAATAAAGATATGCAAAAAAAACAAAAGTAACTTGGCAAGGACAGTCAGTCACACTGATTCACAAGGCAAAGCTGTTCAGTGCCGTCACACACCAGCTTGACCAATCTAATTACACCGGCTGCTCCATCCACAAGGACATGGTTAGAGCATGAAACATGTCCCCCTCCACTGTCCCATAGACATACTCCTCCTCAAGAAGCATCCTCCTGATGATCAAGGGTGCTCCAGGACAAGGAAGAGGGTCTTCCCTCGAAATTCCTTTTCTAACCATTTCAGTCGCATCTGCCTAAGCAAGGCCACTTAGCTGGGGAGAATCTAGAGTTCACCTTCCCATTGGTGACACCACCCCTATTGTCTCTTCATTTGCCTCACAGCTTCCAATAAATTCATTGCTATTACCAAATTTCCATTAATTCATAGGGAAATGAGGAATAGTCAACTTTAAAACAATTTATTTATTTGTATAGTATTACCACAGGGTGTGTGTGGAGAGCAGAGGATAACACTCAGACTTAGGCTCTCCTCTGCCACCTTGTGGGAGCCAGGGATTCAGCCCAGGTTGTGAAGCTGATGCACAAGGGTTTCTACACACTGAGCCACCTCAATGGACCAGATTTCTTATATCACTGGTTTACAGGGCCTTGGGGATAAGACATGTCTTCCAGGAAGACTCCAAAGCATCGGTATGGATGATGTTTTCAATGACGTTGATCTAAATAATCTTCTCTATTAGAATTCCTGTGGCTTTTACATCAATTTGACTATTTCTTCTTGTAGTAAACAGGTAAACACACCACACTGGCCATCCATGCATTCTGAGCGTTCTGATTTCTAAGACATCCTTTATGAATTTGAACATCTGCCTCAAGATAATCTAATATGAGCTGGGTGTTGTTGCGTACATCTTTAATCCCAGCGCTTGGGAAGCAGAGGCAGGCAGATCTCTGTGGTTCAAGGTCAGCCTGGTCTACAAATCAAGTTTCAGGACAGTCAGGGCTGTTACACAGACAAACCCTGTATCAAAGAGACAAAACAAACAAATAAAAAGATAGTTTGTATTCATACGAGACTAGCACTCAAATTTGCCATCTGTCAGGCTGTCAGCAACCCCTAGTCTGTGGTAATCTGACCATTCTTTGTTACCTTTTACTACTCTGTGTTTACCCTACCCACATAATAGAAGCAAATAATGGAAAATCTAACTGTACCATAGAAGTCTGGAACATTTAAACATGTCTAAAGGATTATGGGCTCTTATTAGCTAAACCCTTAAACAATTTGGTACGATTTGGGCTGGAGTGGTTGAACTCCCTAGTGCAGTATTAAGGGAAGGGGCTTTTAGGGAATGATTGGAGTATATGGGTGCTGACGTAACTGATGAATTCAGAACTGAATGCATGCCGGAAAGTGGTGGAAGCCGTGAAAGGTGGGTCTGACTGGAGACAGTGGACCATCTTTGAAGGGTGTGTCATGTCTTAGCCTTTCTGTAGCTGTGCCTCATCTGGGATGAGGTGAGCACCACCACATGCTGCCCACCCCGATGCTCCTTCTCACCACACACATACCCAGAAGCATAAACTGAAATCTTGAGGTAAAAGAAATCTTTCCCCCTTGTTTGTGCTGGGTGTTTTGTCACAGTGGTACAAGTGACTAATACATCATGCATACTCTTTGGTTAGAGGTAAAATTTAACAAGGATGAGCAAATTGTTTCTGACATGCCTATGTAGCAAAAGCTTCCAGACGTATTTATTGATCACAAATAACAAGTTATATACTTACAGAGGATCCCTAGGTGTCGCTTTGGAAGTGCTTGGATAACATTATTGGATGGGCTGAGGATGATGGCACACACCTGTAATTTCAGTTACTACAAATTTGAGGCAAGAGGATTGTGAGTTCGAGGCCAGCCTGGGCTATATAGAGAAAATCCATTTCAAAACCCAAAGGGCTGGGGATGTGCTCAGGGGAAGACTACATGCCTAACGTGCAAGGCCTTGGATCCAATCCCCAGTAGTGAAAAACATCACACATATGTGATGGTTACACTGGAACTACGCAATGTTTGTGAGGGCCTGGGTGCCGACAAAAATGCTAAAACCTCTTTATTTGAATTTTTGGACCATGAGACTGTATCACCCATTCAAATAAGCAAAGGCAGCTACATGGAGCCCTGTGCCTTGTGCAAAGTAAAGTGTAGAGTTTATCATGAGGCGCACAGACTTGCTATGCTTTGGGTTTTCTTGGTACCCTTAAGTGAGGGTAAAACCAGATGCCCATAGACTAGGGTTCCTAGAGTCAGGTATGTAATAACTACATTTTCTCGTTTCTATATTTGATGTTTTAGCATCTTGGGGACACACTGACTTAGACTGTCTCCCAAGGGTTAGCCAGTTCTTAGAAGGTCTCACCTGCAGACTCACCAATCCAGAGCCATGCTCCTAGCCTCCTCTTTACTGGCTTCCATAGTCTGGGACACTATCTACATGCCCTAGTCAGTCTGGGCCCAGATACCAAACAACTAGGAATGGTTCTGCCCCTAAAAGCATTAAATTATCTACATTGCCCTGCCTTGTCCTCCCCTCAGAAGCCACACTGAAGTCTTTTGCTAGATGTACTGCTGGGGCTTCCATATATGGCTCCCCTGACACGTGGTTTTGCACTGGGGATCTGCAAGGATAAAAAAACTATCCCTTTTGAGTGGTTGTCACCTCCTGAACTATTGACCCGGTCATGCCAACATAATTAAATCTACATTTAAAAATATAGTATGAATATAATGCTGATCTGCAAGAAATACATTATCCATACAGATTTAGGACAATAAAAAATTCATTGCTGGAGATGTGACAGAATGCACTCAAGTGAAAGCCAAGCATGTCACTTCTCCCTAGGAGGAGGAAATAATGAAGGTAAGGATACATGGCTCAGGGCAAGATGGCCACCAACACCCCTACAAGAATGTCTTCCAAGTGCTCTCTGGTGAGAACTGTGTGCTTATGACGAGCCCACAGTCCACTGAATGACCAGGTAGGGTAAGTGTATGCACATGCCTGGTCTACACATAAGTGAATTCTGGGTGCAGTGATCAGTTTGTTGATGATCATACTTTGTATTTTTACTTTATGTAAGCCTCACAGGAGAAAACCAGCATTTGTTTGCAAATAAAAAGGGAGGACCCTTTGACCTGTGAATAGCATGTGCCAATGGTTCTTTTCCAGCTTAGTTGACTTAAGGAATTTCATTGGCCAAAGGGTCTTTAATTGCATACTGTTTAAAAGATGCTTATCCATTGTGAATGGGACCTAGAAGAGCAGCCAGAACACAGACTCAAGTAACAAAGGGGCCGGCCTGGATCAGGGTGGTCTTTTGGCTGCCAGAAAAGCATGAAGGATTCGGTCACTCATGAAGCAAAGGGAGAAGCAGGTCTCTGGAGGAAGGGATCCCAGGTGTGTGCAACTTACACTTGAACCTGCTCCTCTGTCCATTCTCAGAACCAACCGTTTGGAGGCTGCAAATTCACGATTCTTTAACTTGGTCAAGTTTCCTGTCCTTGTTTCATGCCCACACTCACAATTGGGATCTTTCACTTAACAAGTCAGACTTTTTTTTTCTGTATTGGAAATTAGTACATCTGACCATAGTAGCCATACTAAACAGCAGCAGTGGCTTCCAGTGAGTTGGACAAGCTCTTTGTCTACCACAGATCCGTCACCCTATACACCCCGAGGAGGATGCTGAGTGTCAGGGACCACACCATCATGCTATAAGAAAGAGTCATCTGCAATCCCAGCACTTAGGAGTCTGAGGAAGATTAAGAATTCATGCCAGCCAGAACTTGTCTCAAACAACAACAACAAACTACTCATTTGTACATTTTTTCTCTTTTAGGGGTGGATATGATAGAAGAGCATTGAGACAGTCTTGTGCATTTCAGGGTGTCATTGAATTCCACATAGAGCCAAAGATGACTTTGAACTGTGTGGGCTTCCTGCTTCTATTTTCCTAGAGCAGAGATTAAAGACCATGGCTACTATGCCTGATTTTATGTGGTGCTGGGGATTGAACCCACAACTTTGCACATGATAGGTAAGCACTCTACCAAATGAGCTTCAACCCCCAGCCTTTACGGTTCTTTTAAAATATATCTGGCCTCTATTTTAGAGGCTACATTAAAACAGTTCAATAGGAAAAGAAAATGATACTTCCTCAGGAGAAGTCTGAAAAAGGCTGTGGAACCAAACTCAAAGTGTGACAGAGAAATGATCTGAGCCAATAGTTTGAGCAGAATAGACAATGTCACTGGCAAAGTGCAGGTTTGAGAAGCATGTCTGTGGAAAGGCTCATTGAGGAAGACCAGTACAGCAAGCATTGCAAGATGGGTTGCAATTAACGGAACACACTCGGTTTTGTTTTTGTTTTTGAGACAGAGTCTCACTATGTAGACCAAACTGGCCTTGAACTCAAAGATCCCCGTCTCTACCCCGCTTAGTGCTAGGATTAGAGGTATGCGCCACCACACCTATTGGTGTCAATGTTAATCACTAAGGGAAATTTTATTTTTGTATTTATCTTAACCCCAGTCAGTCCCTCAGTAGCATATATGAAAAGCAGGATGCATTATAAGATGAACACAGCTGGAAGGCAAAATTCACGGAAATACCATTTGTATTGTAGCTGGATCACCAGAGACACTTCCTATGACTGCCAAAGAGGAGAGCAGAGGAGGGGAAACCCCTAAGTCAAAATGAAAGCAAACCCAAACTGTTTATTCATTATCTGATTTGAATAGGTCACCCCCTGGCTGAGAACACATTTCCTAAATAGTAGTGTGTCTGGAAGAGTGCTAGGGTCAGGTCTCAGGGTAGAGGCAGAGTGGGGGGTGGGTGTCAGCATTTACCTTCTTTCTTGTCCCTAGGCAAGGGACAAAATGAACCACATCTTTTTACACAAACATCCGCACTAAATCAAAGTAGAGCAATAGATTTTATTTAATTAAAATAGATTAAAAACAGACTGTGTAAAAGAATTAGAATTTTCAATAACTTACTGTTATTTACATTAGCAAGTGTTGGTCATTAGTAGACACAGTGAAGAGATGAGCTCGCAGGACCCAGACCTTCCTGTGGTCCAAGCTGTAAGCGTCCCTTCCTCCCCATCCCTTCCCTTCTGATTCATGATGGCAATTATGCCACTGAGTGCACCGGGAGAGGAACTTCAAGCACCCTTGGTGGTGGAAACAGTATCACAGCCTGGAAGAAGAGCTCAGAGCTGGCAGAGAGGAGGGAGGAAAATTTCTCACTGGGTTCATATGCACATCACTGAGGATGCTTTCCCCTCCCTGAAGCCAGTACTCGTCTCTAGGCTTGACATTGTGTAAACACTCTTTCCAGCTGACCCCAGACCCCATTTCCAGGGAGAAGACGTAAAGCCACACATCTCAGGGAAGCCCTGAGTCACTCAGTATCCCCTGCCCTTGTGGTCCACACCTTGGTGACTTATCAAAAATCCTCTTGAAATGCTTCACGCCTTTGACACACGAGGGGAATTGGGGAGCCAGGGCATATGACCAAGCGGAATGCTCCCCTCAAGTAGGCAATAAGAACAAGAGGAAGGGCGGCCCACAGGAACAGTGCCTCCCAGGAGAAGAGGCAGAGCAGCAGGACACGTGGCCTCCTGTTGCTGGAGTCAGCCCAGACGCAGCCCATGGACATCAAGAGGCTCTGTGCCTCCGCTTTCAGGATGTCCAGGCCTGGTGAACCTCAGGACCCTGGGAGGCCCGGGCTGAGCAGCAGCTTTGGCCCTTGAGGCCACTCAGTGGACAACATGAGGACATGCAGTCAAGGACTGAGGCAGAGAAGGCCTGATGGAGAGTGTCAGTCCAAAATGTCTGTCTCAAATGGAACCAGGTGGTAATAGGACAAGTTGGTGACGTAAGCTGCCGGGTCATCACCGTCCTCCAGATCTGGGGTGAACTCACCACCACTCTCAAACCTGAAAGAAACGACAGAGGTGAAGGCCACTTACAGGACCCCAGATAGAAGAAAGAGAGGGCAACATATAGCCAGTGCAGCCAAGAATACTGAGGGATGCAGGCTCTGTGAAAGGGGACGAGGGACATCAATGAGACGTAGTCCTTCCCAGGCATGCAGCAGACACACAGGAGGGACCGTGACTATGCAGACTGGATAAGATGGGTGGCACTGCACAGGGAGGGCTTCTGAGCTTTGGTGCCTTTGCAATTACTCTCTGCATCTGTTTCAGCAGGTGAGCCGGGACTTCGCTCTTCTTTTCATTTGTGGTGATAGTCTGGCTTCTGTTCTGGGCCAGGCCCTGTGTCAGCTTGGAGAACAGCAAGGGATGGGCAAGTGTAAGGGATATGTCCTCAGGGAACAGGAGTTGCAGGAGTTTGCAAGGACACCAGGGAGGGACACTACAGGAGGCTCCCCATGGTCATGGAGGGAGGCTCTCTACCTGCTGGCCAAGCCTGGTCTGATCCCAGCTGATTCAGCCTCTGAAGGGTGAAAATTGCATGGATTTGGAAAGCTTACACAGTGTGTGTGCAGGACCATCCTGAATGCCCCACCACCTGCTCTGCCTTCATCATCTCCCCCAGACCAAAGTATGTCCTGAAGACGGGAGGGAGGGAAGCTGGAAGGAGAACTGTCAAATGTCTCAGGACCCTCCTGCCTCACCTCATCAGGCTCGCCATGCCCTCAGTGCTCACTCATGGTGTCCACCATCCTTCTGGGTCAAATTTGGGTGCTCTCAGCAGATAACACTGCATGACAGCCCCTACTCACAGCCCAGGGCCACATGGTAAGCATCAAGTGCCAGTGGCCTTCCAGTCTCTGAGTGTTCACCAGGCCACTCCTAAGAGACTGATGCACGCTGTGGATCTCAGTGACTGGGAACCCCGAAGAACTTCACAGAGGGCATGACATTAGAAGTTTGCATGAGAAACTGTGTTGACAGAATAATCCCCTGGCCTGCTTAGCCGTAGGCATCCCACCACGGGGATGCTGCACCCACCACATGCAGCTTCTTGGGGACCTCTGGCTGACAGAGATGGCACTCTGGTGCACACTGAATGAGTGCTCATGGAAGAGAAGTCCTTCAGCTTTGTGTGAGGAGGTGCTGGCCAGGGACTGTTGCCATAGGAGTCTGTTTCACACCACCCGCTGCTATGGGGCTGCCTCCAGAGCATTCCCAGGGACCTTTTTCTCTCCTTAGGAGCTCCCAGCAACAAAGCCAGACCTCCTGTCACCCCGTCCGAGGATTCTGTTACCCAGGTAATTCACCAAGGAGCTGACTGACAGGAGCCAAGCATGCGGGTAGCTGTTCCTGCTGGCCTCTAGGTGGCAGGCTCTCTACAATACGTCCCGATCAGAGGTGGGAGAAAGCAGGCCGCAGTGGCCATTGGCTGTCCAGCCCTCAGTAATCAAGGGCTCTCTCTAGAATAAGGTTCTAAGGATACACTCATAAACTTGAGACCACATGTGTGTCACAGTCCCAGTCCAGGAGGTGAGGCATGTGGCTCCTGGATCCTGGACCAGAAGCTGGGCTTTCACACCTCAGAGCCAGCACAAACCAGATCCGGGAGCTTTGTAACTTCTTCAGAATGCTCTAGTGGTTGGGTGACTAGGCCTCTCCTTAGGTCAATTAATCAGACTCTCACCAGAATATATGAGGCAAACGTTTAAAACAGGGACCCCTAAACTGGCATCGTCTGCTGCTGGGTGCCTTGGGGCCATGTTCATCCCTTCCTGTAGAGCACTGCACAAGCCACCAGCTTTCAACCCCATGTATGAAACCACATCAGAAGCTGTGTACTCACAAACGCTCAGTGGAGTCTGCATCCAGGAGCAGGTCTTTTCCGTTGGGTATGCTGTGGTCAATAACTATTGTTTCTGTGTTTGCCAAACAAAATCCATTGGACCTCATGATTTCTGAAAACCAAAGCCATAAGGAGAGGTCAGCACTTGGGTTTAGAATTTTAGGACTTATCATAGATTGACCACTCTCAATGTTGGTCAGAGAAGTTTCTTTCTGCAGTGGGCAATTGTTAATGCAAACTCATAATTGATCACAATGCTGAGAATAAGTGATGCTAACTGCTCAGCCTCAAACAGGACATCTAGAGCAACCCCTCCGAGACTCAGGGAACACTGGGAAGAGAGGACAGAAAGAATAAGAGCTGGAGGATGGGAGGAGAGCTACGAGACGCTGTCTTTTGGTACTGATGTAGCTGTTGCATCCAGAACTCACAACAACAGTGGCTACCTGCACAAGACTGGACCCATCAACACCTGTCATGGGTGGGAGAGGGACCCCTTCCTGAGTTGACACAGGCAGTTAGTTATGGGAACCATGGAAGGGAAAGTGATATCCCTCAGTGGTGTAGATATAGTCAGACTCAATAAATAAATAACCTCCCATCAGTGCTCATGCCAGCAACTGTAATTAAATATAGTGTCACTTAAAAAGTCATGAAACTAGGAGGAGGAACGGTAAAGAGAAGAGGTTCAGTGTGGGAGGGAGAGTGTGACAAGAGGGAAAACTGGGTGAGGAGAATATACAGCGCTGTGTGTGTGTGTGTGTGTGTGTGTGTGTGTGTGTGTGTGTGATTGTGAAATCAAATGTTAGAACTGAGGTTTACATTGGTCTCCACCTTCCCCATCAACTATTGTCCCTTGTTCTCTCTCTCGCTGCTCCAAGAATCCTTCTAGAGTTCAGACAGGCAGTTTAAGGTGCTGACACCAGTGCCCATAGGAGCAGTGTACGTATCTCCCTGAAGGAAGATCCTCTGGCTATCCAAACACCTCCCATGTGCCCTTCCCCGTGGGTTTACAGTGAAGGATGGAGTGTGGAAAGTAAATAGATAACTGGGCTCAAGCTTGCCGCAGGATCTATGCATCACTGTGACATGCGACATCACACAGTCTCCCTGCCCTTTCTGACCTCAGCCCTGGCTGAGCCCTGGCTGGCAGCACTCACATCCTGGTTAGTCCTAAGCATCAGATGAGACCAGAGTACATTTTAAATGAGCAACCTGTTGGCTTCCCTTCATAAAATTGTATATGCACATTAACATGTTCCCTGTAAGCACAGATGTGCGTTCTTTAGAAAAATCAACAAAAAGTGGTTTCCTGTATCCATACTGGCTGTTGGGTTCTACGGGCTCTCCTATGGTTGGAAGAGCTGAAGTAGAGAATTGGTAGTAGTCACTAAGCTGGAGGCTTAGACTGAAGCCTTTTGGCCTTGGAACTCTTCTCCTTCATGGGACACCTTCAAGATTGTATTTGAGAATCTCCAAGGATTTACCTAACTCTGGTTTTCCCATGATGTCCTGGGCTCCATCATGGCAAACAAGTATTCATTTAGCTACAGACACCCTCTCTGAACAGCAAAACTTAAATGTTCAAATCTCTAATGCAAAATGGGGCAGTGTTTCTGTCTAGGCTTTAAATCATCTATAGATCACATATAATACCTGATACAATGTAAATGATATATAAATCATTATTGTAATGACGGAGGAGAAAGGGCTACACTTGATCAGTAGACTAGAACTTTTCCCCAGTATTTTGGCCTGTACTTGGTTGAGTGAACAGATTTTGGGTCCACAGATACAGAGAGCTGACTGTGTAAGAATCCAGAACGGCTTGGCTCTCTCTTTTTTATCTACTGCAGCCTTGACATTTCAGAATTTCTGCATTTCTCTCCTTTTCCTCAGGAGCTGAGCAGTCTAGGTGCCATCTTGGCCTTGGAATCTTTTCCTCTCTGTGAGCCTCACTTATCTCTAGTCCTTGGCTGTTGGGCAGCTGAGCTCCATTTTCAGGAACACCTCTGTTAGTCCTCTCAAGCCAGGCTCTCACCCTAAAAGACACGTTTAACACATACCCCAGATAATGGGTATGTTTAATTTACAAGAGCGAATCCTCACATTAGGGACACGGCTCACTTCAGTCTCTCCTCTCCTCCTATCACACACAGCCAACAAGAGTACCTTTCCCTATCTTAAGGGTTATGGGACATCAGGTGCCTTTATTTCTAAGGATTATCTTAGTCCTCCTCCCACCTGACCAGGTCTAATTTATTCTTAAATACATAAATGTGCCTTTTCGTGATGAAATTGTCCCTTCCTGTCTATTTTTAACCTTTCTAGTCATTTGGTGTTCCATTCTGTGAACTTCTCTCCAGATGTAGAGAATTAGGGAACTACCCAGAAAGGAATAAATCAAACTAGGTTTCCTCTTCACTCTCACAAAAGGTTATTCATCAATTTGCCAAGTCCTTGCTGAAATGCAAGTCCAGCTTCCTGGTTTCCTGGAGAAGGGGCCAGCATGTGTCATGGGTCTCCTGCACACTTCTCAGTCAGTCATGGCCATGGGCTCTCAGCTTCCCTTGTTCCCTGCGCTTCCATCTGAGAGGGACTCTACAAACCAACAAGGAATGGGTCTGGGAACTCAGGTCATCATTTCCTTGTACCCAGAACAAAGCGAGGATATTTAGTTACTGAGCTGTCAGACTGAACATCCCCAAACCCCACACAAAGTTCCGATTCCCTGTCTCCCCACTCAAGGGGTGTGGCAGCAAAGAGCCACTTTCTTTATTGTTCTTATTAACTCTGACCCAAATCTGTCTGTCTGAAAAAGTGCAGGCAGCCCCAGTGCAGCCTCCGCATGGCTAACTGACAGCCTAGGGCTCCTTCTCCCACCCCTTTGCCAAGGGAATATGGGGTGGGGAAGGGATCCTGGGAGTTCAAACAGATGTCACTGATGCAAGTCGCTTCTGTAAAACTCCTGGAGCTACTAGCATGCCTAATTTTTGCTAAATGTAAATTATGGAGTCTAGGAACCTATACTGGTCCCTCCAGAATAGATTTGGAACAAGTCACTCCTCAGTTGTCTATAACAAAGAACCTTTGGGAACATAAAGGAGAGCTAGAGTTCCCAAGGCCAGTTGGACCCTGAGGACAATAAGTACATTGGTCTCTAGTCCCTCAAAATCCCAGCCCCCAGGTCACAAATTGTCAGTATTTCACAAAAGATGAACCCGAGAAGCTCTTGGTCCCTCTTGGATTCCCACCCTCATCACTCTGAGCCACCAGCTGGATCTATAAACCTTTAGTGCAGCCATTCCGAACTGGCTTGGAGAGGGATGGTTCACTGAGAAACACTAACACAAAAGCAGGTACCACAGCAGGCACAAACCTAGACACACACACACACACACACACACACACACACACACACACACACACACACTCCTATACCTGTGCTAGCTAAAGCTGGAGCAAAGATACTGTGAGGGTTTATATTTTTATTTCTTCCATTCGCTTAAAAACAAGGTCTTAAGAAGAGCTGTGACTTAAGACCTAAGAGGAATTATCCAAAATGTACAACAAAGAAAGTCTATGCTTAGCACGAATCTAACTGTAAATAACCAGTTGGCTAACAGTGCTTCAGCAGTGTCCTCCCCAGGCACCATCTCCACACTGAACAAGAACGAAGGCTTGAATGGGAGGTTACTTATCAGTCTTCACAGGTGGGTGGAGCTCCCCCTATATGCTTGTGTGTTTTGGAAGGCTGGGAACCCTTCAGGGAGGTGGGCCTGACTGCAGTGAGTGAGTTGCTAGGGGTGGGCAAAATTGAAGAAAAATAACAGGGCCTACAGGCTATTTTCAGGCAAACTTAAGACATGAATTTCTTGACCGTCAGTTTAGAACCCACAGCAAAAAATCAGGAACTACTTTAATTTTTTAAGTCACATCCCTCCCTAACTCTTGAAAAAATTCATTTTCAAGCTAACCCCACCCACCCCTAGGCAAGGATCAAACTCAAGGCCACAAATAAGCTAGGCAATGGTTCTGCCACTGAGGCACACCCCAGACTCACAAGATATGTTTATATTTTGTAATATTTAATTTATAGTTAATTTTAGAATTTACAGGTTAAGTCATAAAGATATAGACCGGACTCCCCAACATACTCTACATCAGCTCCCCTTACTGTCAACACTTCATACAGGTAGGGTCCCTCATCACATCCGGGGAATGACACGGGGACAATACCACTAAGTGTACAGCCCCTTCAGTGGAGTTTCCTCAGTGTTCTTTTTTTTTTTTTTTTTTTTACGAGACAGGGTTTCTCTGTATTGTTTTGGAGGCTGTCGGTCCAGCCCGGCCTCGAACTCACAGAGATCCACCTGCCTCTGCCTCCTGAGTGCTGGGCGTAAAGGCGTGTGCCACCACCACCCGGCTTCCCCAGTGTTCTACTGACAGCCTTTTCTTCTGCTAGATTCGATCCAGAACTCTATGTTGCACTGAGCTAACTGACTCTGATGGCTCCTGGTTTTTTCTTGTTTCTCATGACTTGCAAAGAATTCAGGTGATCTACTTTACAACTCTTCCTTTAACTTGATTCCAAGGTGGTTAGAACTAGGTGATGTGCTATTGGGAGGAATCCCACAGGGCCTATTGAGTGTCCCTCTGTGGAAATATGGGGTGCCTGTATATGTGTGTGTACTACACAATGTCCACAGGCCCGCTATTCAATATCCATTAACAACTATCTTCCAGATTAAGGCCTTAATACTGTACAAACCCTGTTTCTACTTGAACTTTCACCCTCTGCTTTGCTTATCTCCATCAATGGATCTTTTTAGCATCTTCCAATCTGTGTGCACGGCGCCATAATAGTGATTTTCCTAATTTGTAACTGTGGCAGAGTTTACATGTACCCTATACCACCACCCCTTCAGGTCATCAAGTTTCTGATTCCATTTCTTCTGCAGACCTTTAGTCAGTCATGCAGGCATTCTCAGTATAAACTTCCTCCATTCTAAGTCCTTCCTGGCATTATATTTTAGTTTATCCCAGCAACAGAACAAAAGCAATATCCTTTTATTAACTGATTGACTTGTCTATCCCCATATAGTAAAAATTAAGGCTAAGATTGAATAGATTAAACAACACACACATTTTAAAAAATGTATTTCCTTTCAAACCTTGAATGGGAACAATCCACTTTTATGGCTGAAACCATATTGGTCCTACTGGCCATAAGTAGGTGGAGCTAAGACTTCTATTTCTTTTGCACTGCATAGCTACAGCCTCACTGCAGAACACTTAAGATCTGTGCTCTCTTATGCTTAATAAACATTTAAATCAACATGGGAAAGGAATGCTTAAGTCTGAGTAGTTATCCTTGATGAGGCCTCAGAACATTGACAAGATTTTTCAGCACACTTAGTGCATAGTGCCATCTGGTGGAGCCCTTACCACCTACAGTCTCAACATTGAAAGTGAAAAGTCTGGACACTCAGAGCCCATGTCACCACCCCTAAGAGAGAGGGGTTCTGTGCCAATTCCATAGCACCTACTCCCTCCCCAAATGCCGGAGTGCTTGAAGAAACTTCTTAAGAGAAGGGAAGATGGGTCTTAGGAATTCCTAAGGAGAAAGGGGGAAGGAGCACTGGAAAGATAGTTGGATCAGCAGTGCAACTCTTGCTCTTGCAGATGACTTGGTTCAAGTCCAGCACATACATGGTTGATCATAACTACCCATAATTCCAGTTCCAAGGGATTCAATGCCCTCTTCTGGCCTCCATAAGTACCTCATGCGTGTGGTGCATAGACATACACGTAGCCAAAAAACTCATATGTATAAAAAATAAATCTTAGCCGGGCGTTGGTGGCGCACGCCTTTAATCCCAGCACTTGGGAGGCAGAAGCAGGCGGATCTCTGTGAGTTCGAGGCCAGCCTGGTCTACAGAGTGAGTTCCAGGACAGCCTCCAAAACGATACAGAGAAACCCTGTCTCGAAAAACCAATAAATAAATAAATAAATAAATAAATAAATAAATAAATAAATCTATCTTAAAAAGGAAGAAATCGGTGTGAAGTCTGTGCAGCTTGCTGAACGAGCTGCCCCCTTAGTGAAGTGCGTGCTGAGTGGAGCCGGCAGGATGTTGCTCAGTGCGCACACTCCAGCTAACATTTGTGCACGACAGTTCATGTGAGGAGCTCTGGCTCCAGAGAGGCCTGGCTGTTCTGGCAGCTAAAACAGAGGGCTGGGAATGGCCAAGGGTAGAGCCTCAGGAGTGGAGGACACCAGAGGAAGGGCTCCAAACACATCTTAGGAAGGAGGCTATCCCCAGACTGCTGCCTCACACCAGAGGAAGGGTTCCAAACACTTCTTAGGAAGGAGGCTATCCCCAGACTGCTGCCTCACATAGCAATAACCCCACACCACACATGCACACACACACTCCACACCTTGCACCGAGACTTTTGGCAGCAGGTCCTTTACAAATTCCCTGCTTGTTAACCAGGGCTCTGTGGCAAGCTGGACCCAAACCAGGCCCTGGCCAACTCTTCCCATTGGGGCCCACCAGTGTCTAAGGGGCATATTCCCAAGCCCACTGCCCCATGTCTTCCTACTCACTGTCCCTCCCATCCCTGGATTTGATCTGATGCAGCAGCTTGTTCTGCAGTTTCTTCAGAGCCAGGCATGACATCTCATGGTCTGGTGTCTCAAGGTGCACAAGAAGGACAAGATCCCTGCCTCTGCAGGCCTGGATGCTGCACCTCTGTTACAACCAAAGGCCGTGGGGGAATTCTCCCACAGTGGCAAGGACCTGTCCCAGTCCTCCAAAAATACAGGAAGACTAAAGTCCTGGCGTCTGCATTCACCCCCTTTAGTTCCACCCCATTATTTTCAGCCTTACAGGACAAACATGCACCATGTGGTCATTACATCATATGATCAATACATGATAAAATAAGGCAGGGCAGCGGACAGGGGGGCAGGGGACTTCTCCAGAGGCAGCTCCTGAGATCATCTGACCCCTCTACTGTGACGGCTCCAGGTCATCTTGAGGCAGTGTCCCATCCCTTTAAGGGTTATGCTGTTCTCTTTCCCATTTGCCCCAAACAATGAAATAGTGAAACACACAGGCCTCCCCTGCACTGTTCCCACTCAGACTCAAGAGCAGAAGCCTGCCCGTGTGCCCCATCTGACAACCAATGAGACTTCAGAGCCTGTGGTGAACCCTGTAGGAGGGTTCACAGACATTGACCCAGACAAACAGCCTCACTACTTACAATAAACTGTATAGAAGGTTCTAGAAGGCAGATTCCAGTTACCAAGTGGCCCTAGGCTCTGTTCACTCTCCTTTAAGATAATCCAGGAAGCTGCCAGACACCAGCAGCCCCAATGGACCACCCACCCTGCGCACTCACAGTCATATCTAGGAGACCTCTCCCAGCCCAGGTCCTAGAACCCACCCAGCCAGCTCAACCCATGCACACAACTGGGATTATCATCCCTGTGCGGCTGATACACAACTGCCCTGTCTCTTTGTCACTGCCAGCCTTCCCTCCTTTCCTACCCTTCCCAAGGATGGAGCTGAGCATCTCACCACATGCCTTCTGTCCTTCCCAATGGGGAGGCTGAGCCCACCCACCGAAATGCCACACTGGGAAACACTTGCCACCCCCACAGCCACCTAGAGCATTTCTCCCATGCCTTCTTACCTGATATTTTGACAGGACTTTGAAAGCTGGGTTGAATTTTATGGACATTATCATTCTTTAACACCTGATCCAGAGGCGATCTTTCAAAGAAGGTGAGTACAACCTCTGACCTAGAATACTGGGGATAAACACAGTTATTACCGAGGCTGAAAAGCTCTCCACAGCAGGTCCCACGGGCATGCTGGGGTGGTGTTTGTCCACAGAGGTAACCCCAACTGACATGATGCTCAGAAGGCAGCCCCAGGCCTGTGCAGGGGCTGATTGATGGCCTGTGTCCAGTGAGTGGACCACTATAGCTTTGTTTACAGTGGCTACCAGGCGAGGCCTCTGGCTAGGGTGGGTGGCTCTGTGGAATGCTTTGCACACAGCTGGCATATAACACCCAGCTCCCTCCCTTACTATCAGCTAGGTTGCTTCTACTTCAGCCATTCAAGTAGGGGAACAATACAGCTAACGAGTTTGGCCTGACCCTCCAGGTTCTTAGTTCTCCACATCAAGCTCACAGGCTCAGTGTGTGAGTTCCAGTGGGACGGAACTGAACAGTGTGAGTTCCAGTGGGAGGGAACTGAACACCGGGGCCGCCAATGATGCTGACCCTGCTCCTGGCTTCCTGGCGCCTGTTAAACCTAAGCAAGAAGAATGGTCTGAGGCAAGGGAAGAAAGCAAAGGCTACTACTTCTCTAGAAGCCCATTCCCTCCTGCCTCACAAGACATGACTCAAGAACCTAGCAGAGCCCACAGAAGTCTTCCTTCCCTTGATTGTCTGCCAGGGCATCCAGGGGGAATGAAACACTGAGTGAGATACAAGGAGCTGTCTTTAAGTCCGGGTGGTGACAGCCACTCTGGCCTCCCTGCCCCACCTAGACGCCTTGCTCACCTTACACGGCATGCTGATGACAGTCTCCAGCAGCTTCTCAACCTCATTGAGCCTGGTCTCTATGTCGTGTGCTTCCTTGATGGCAAGCAGTCCTAGAGCAGAGACAGAAACAGCCCAGTCAGAGAGGCAAGCAGCCTACGATGGCATAGGTAACGAACACACAACAGGTATTCCACGGGAAGAAAGCCACCCCGATGTCATCTGCCACAGCAAAATTCCTGAAGTAGGCATGTCTCAGTGTCTGCCATGGATTCTTGAAACCACATATAGAACCGGACCCAAAAATATAAACATTTTTTCTACCATAATTCAGCCCAAATCATATGCCATGGCCACAGCTCATGCTTCTGCAGTCTGAAGTGAGATGGGAAAGCTTCCATGAATTTCCAGGTTCACAGACAGACAATGCCCTCTACAGTAGATCTTAGCCACTCTGCCTGCATTTGTGGAGTTTGTCTTTGGTTTTGGTGTCCTGATTCAGGTGAGACTATTCGCCTCTTCTCTTTGTAGCATCTCTTTTCATGCCCCAATTGCCAGCATCACCACTTTCCCATTTTATGACCAGCAATAAGCAAATAGGAGTCATAGGACCCTGAGCACGGATACACTAAGACAGCTACTATGGTTGGTGGTGGGGTGGCTTACACATCATGGAGACATGAGACAAAGAAACCATTCTCACCTCAGGAGAGTCAGGGTGGGGTGGCTTAACAATTCATCATGCTACCCAGAATGGCAAATAATCTGAAACTTAGTCATTGTTTGTTTTGTGAACTTTTGCTTAAAAGAACAGAAAGGCAAGGAGACTCAGCACTCACTCAGCCCTGTGTGTAAGTGCTAGCCTGTGAGGTCCTGCCCTGCGAAGCACACTGATGATGTATGACTCTGCTGCAAATGATGCCACTCATCCAAAAATGACAGTGGAAGGGAGACAGGGGTGGAAGGTCCCCTGCAGTGGGACATTGTGAGGCCATGCCACTAACACCGAGACACAGCCAGAGCTTAGCCAGAGACCCCTCAGTTGCCATCAGTATGAGCAAGGGGTGTGTGGCCCAGGACCTACCAGCCTTGATGACATAGGCAAGGACTCACTCTGCCAGTGACAGCTGCCCAGACCACAAGGCCTGTATGAATGGAGTCCATATTTAGTCATCTAAATGCAATCTCAGAGAAAGCCCATGTGGGCGTGAGTCATGGCTCTTTCCAGGAACCCAATCATCAGTGCTTGTTATAGGCACCACAGAGTGGTCACCACAGGCTCTGACTGGCTGTTGGGCCATGCGGTACTTTATTTTTAAAATCTTATGGCTTAAGGCCATACTTGGGAGATGTGAAGTTTTCTCTGTCTCCCGTGAACAACACAAATAGAAGACACCCCACTTTAGCTTCTCTCGCCCGCTTTCAAGGGATGGAATTATGACTCCTTTGCATACTAGTTTTGCCCAAGACTCTGTATGGCCAGAATGGCACAATCCCCAGGATCTGCAACAGAACCCCAGAGACCTAGATCCCAGAACTATGGTCAATCCCTGAAAGTTTCTCTCAGGTTCTTTTCTGGCTTTGCTCACAAAAGGCAAAGTGTTAAGGTTTTAGGTAAATGACCACCTGGATCAACAAACATGATCAAAATGATTTCTAAAAACAAGCTGATTGAAATTAGGAGGCACCAGAACACACAGTTCCTGGGAGCTCCTACCCAAGAGTCCCCAGATGTAATGAAGACATTTCTAAAAGGCTAGCCTAGGCTATCCCTAATGTCCACACTAGCGCCTCCTTCACCTGGCCCTCCAGGTATGCAAGTACCCCTGCTTGTTGATAGCATTTTTTGATCCTGTCTCTTCTTCCTCCCTCTCTCCTTCCTCAGCCATGGAATGTGCAAAACCAGAGGAGACAGAGTGGGTTGTGACTGCCCCACTGGAAAAACCTCAGGCTTCCCATACACTGCCCACATTCAAGGACAACACCCTAGCCATCCCCAGAGGAACTGGGCCACTCCCTCCCTCTCTTCCCAAGCCCCACCGAAACCCTGTCTGTTGAAGAAAGGAAAAGCAAAGCAGAAAACAACAGAGTGCCAGAGTTCCTGAATGTCAGCCCAAAGCCCTGAGCTCTTCAAAGACAGAAAGAGAGTCATATGTGACATGATGGTAAGTTTGGGGCACCATGTGACATGTATGACAGTGGTCTATAAGAGATATCACCTAGAAACAGCACAGCTGGCTCAGCTGGTGTAAATGCACTCATGATGTTCACACAATGATAGAAATCAAAGACTCTTTTCTCCTTTCTCACTGTCATTAAGAGGGAGTGGCTACATGCATACATGAGGCTGAGGATGCAAAAGGGTGTGGCTGTGTGCACACATGAGGATGCAGGAGGGCGTGACTGCATACACACCCGAAGATGACGATACAAGAGGTTGTGACTGCGTTCACACCGGAGGATGAGGACACAGGACTCTTCTTTGCACTAGGTCACTTTGAACATCCTTCCTTGCTACAGAGTAGTCTGCAGAGGACAGAGCCAAGTCAGAACTCCTTGGAAAGTTATTTGTAAAGAAGAAAAGAAATCGCATAACAGCGGCTGCTTCCTTCAAAGAAGCGAAGCTGACTTCCGGTTTCCGAGACCTACAATCCTAGATGGGAGTCCATCACACTGACACAGCAACTACTTTTATTCTCTAAAAATGTGGTTCGTAGAAACCATCCTCCTTTACAGCTAGTGTGCAGCCGGTGTACAGCCGGTGTATAGCCAGCCAGGCTACACCACCTCACCAGGAGGAAGCTTTGATTCTGGCTCATTAGCTGGGATGACAGAACCCTGCTTACACCTTTGTTTCTCGTGGTTGGGTTTACACCTGCCAATGGAGAGGTAAATACACTCTGCTCTAGCCAGAGGACAAGGAACACTGGCCCTTAACCAGGTGGTACAGTAGCTTTGCAAAATGGTGGATTCCTTTATGTCTGTGGAAGCTTTCCTAATAGCAACACAACCTGATGACCACTGCTATAGCTGTAGCCCCAGGGCTGAGAAGCGCAGCCTGGAGAAACAGGAAAGAGCCAGCCCAGCATTCAGCACCTGGCCCTTACCCCTATCAGCCCCAGGACAGTAAGGAACAGATGAGTCACCACCAGCCACCTGGCTTCTTATAGCCCCAAACCCCAAAGTTCACAGTGTTCTTCCTTTGGGATCCTGGACATCACTTCTCTTCAATCATTTAAAAAATGTTTTCTATTAAAAACCACTTTGATGCATACACCCTTCCCTCTACTCTGGAGCTGCAATGCAGAAAATGACATAAATTTTCCTCTGGAAACTTATTGTTTCACACTCTTGGAGTTTCTTAGTGTCACAGCTGGTGGAATCCCCAAATGCCTGCTGCCACTGTGGTAACAATCAGACTCTTCAAGTACCACCGTGAAAGGCTGAGTTCTGAGAACAGTCTGCATACAGGTCTCTGCTTTGACTTGCAGGGACAGGTGACAAGAGCCATGGGTCTAAGCGGGAAGGCCATAGCACAGAGCACTATCTGCTCATAGTTGCATATTATCCTATTGCACCTACTGAGTTCCTTGAAACTTCAGTCATTTGGATCTTTCTTCTTTCTTTCTCTTTCTTGTTTATCATTTGGCTTAGGCTGGGTTTTCAAAATGTCACTTGTGTATACAGGAAGTCACAATTTCAACTTTATTATTTAATGTCCTTAAATAAATAGCTTTAGAGCACCTGATTCTTCTGGGTTTTATACTCCAAGTATTATTAGTGGCCCATTCTCCATAAAGGGCTTTAGCCTTGCAAGAAAAGAACCGAGAATTTGTGCTTAGCTGATTGCATCAAAAGTAAACACCTGCTTCATTCTTGGAACCAATACTGAATGAAGCAAGTATACACATCTATGATTTTCAAAGTCTAACATGACTTTGCTATCTGAGATTGTAATGGTAAATACTGCAGGTGGACAAGATAGTCGTGAATATACACAGATGCATTCAAAAAATAAAGCTTCATTGAGTGGCTATAGTTCTATAGTTGGCCAGCAGAGGGTGGCAACACACCACATAAACTCAAGGGTTTCAATCACAAACTCAGAAATGACAGTTGCCCCACTATTCAACATGGGAAGAATTTGACCCAGAAGGTTTCATAGACGCTGAAATTTTTCTGTTTTCTGAAAAAGTAATTACTCATACACCCTCAACTCCTAAAATTTATCAATACCATAGTTTGTAACATAAGAATTTTATCTCAGTTTAGCACAAGCAGTAAAAAGCTTAAAAATTATTAATAATATGACATATAAATCTCAGCAAGCCAAATACATGAATACTCAGGGACTAAGTGTCAGCCTGGCTGTGCACGGTGGTGCATTACTTTAACCCTGGCATTCTGAAAACTGAGGCAGACCTGGTCTACACAGGGAGTTTCCAGGTCAGTTAGAGCTACAAAGTAAGACCCTATCTAAAAAACAAAACAAAAAAAAAGTCAGTCTACAGCTGCCCCTCACAGGGTGTGGCTTAGTCCCTAAGGGGCTTTACCCTTACAAGAAAAGAACAGTTTGTGGCTATTTTACAAATGCCTGCTTTTGGCAAATGTAAACACGTTTATTCCTGGAACCAAAACTGAGGGAAGCAAACATAAACAAATTAGTTTCCTAACCTCAGAAACCTGAGTCTGAGGTCTCCCATTCTGGTAAACAGAGCTTGGTCCCCACACTTGTGACAACTGCCTCAGGCTTCCGTAGAAGACTTTCGGGACTGGTGGGGGATGGGTGCCACAGGGATGTGGCACACTTCTAACCCAAGTGCTTCAGCAGAGAAATCCTGCTCATAAAGACAAGATGCTGCAGAGGTCAATAGGAGCCAGCGCATTAAGGAATGTCCATGGCCCACAGCATCTGCCTCTCCTAAGACGGGAGAAACTTCCAGACTCCTTAGAAAGGACAGCCCTGGGCGAACCTTTCTGTTGGGGGCATTTTCAAATGGGGCCAGATAACAAGCTGCATTGAAATGGCTTTTTGTCCATTTAACAAATGTACCCATCAACACGAGGCACACAGAAGGGCGGGGCTCTCAGAAGTACTCATTTGTGTGCCATG